GTTTGTATCTGTGTGGCCAGCCACGTAGGACCCTGCAGTTTGGGGGTTGGTCCGCCCACTCGCTCCAGTGTTAACCATGTAGCGACTGGTCAGCCACGCTGTGATTTAAAGGGATAACGCCGCAAAAGGAGAGAAAATGAGTCTTTATTGATGAATAAAATGTTAACAGGCTAGTTACCATGGAAATGATAACAAGGCTGGAGTGAAATTTGATTATTTTTACTAAAAGCGGGGCTGTGGACCTTCTTGGTGTTCCCACTCTTTTCTTTTCCCCGGAGTACGCTCAAACTCACTTAGCACTATATACACAAAGCCATTAATAGAGTGAAGACTCGGTAACAACTGAGAAAGTGTAGACCATGTTTAAAACCACCAACGTTTGAAGAAACACTCCTCGACTGTATCGTGTGCCCCGTAACACCCTAACTTTTACTGCCAGTGAGGGGTTTGTACTTTCAGACTGCCACAGTTTAAAATATAAACTGTGTGACGGGGGTGTTATGGGATTTGGAGGCACTGTTGCAGCTGTTCCCACCCTTTCCCCCGCTTTGGACATACCATCATAGCCCTCACCACATGGCCTCTAGGTCTGCTTTATCAACTGAATCTGATATTATCCAGAGAAGTTTAACTGACTTCAACCTGCATGATGCTTTAAATTGTTGTGTTTCAGTTAATGTTAGCCAAACTTCTTTAACCATTAGTCTTACCCAGCTGTTGATATTTTTCTTCTAACTTTAATGCACTTTCAGTGCTCTGTTCTACGTTTGTCTGATTGCAAAACATTGAATTATTTCAAGTTCTGTCTTGTTTTGGGCCTAGGTAGCTTTTTTCAGTACTCCACGCACCAACACACATCACTCCATAGTTGTTTTAGGTGGGTTGAGGCATATATTGATGCTACAACGATCAACCAGTGTCACTGACATTAATATAGTCCACTGCTCTCTAATAAGTGTTAAGGACGTGCACACGTTCGTCCATAATATTTTTATTTTATTAGGAATTAGATGAAAATTTAGAAGTAGAGCACAAGTGGAAAAGACAGCCGTGTTTCCTCTTCAAACATCTGCTAATCAACCGTGAAACTAGCTGGTTAAATTTAAATCAACTACAAATAAACCAGATGTGAATTTTATTTATTATTATTATTATTATCATCATTAAAGAAGTTGCAATTGGTGTCTTTTACTGGCAGACCATAGCATCACCACCGGCGTGTGCTATCAATCATTGGCGGACCAATTAGCTCCATTTTTTCCCAGTTAGAAAAAGTAACAATAAAGTTGAAATGTTTACAAAGTAACCCTAACCCCTTCGACATTTTATTAATCTGCTTTTCTAGGTGGCCAGGCAATATTAGCAAATGTTAACTGCTTTATTGGTAAGCATGTATGAAGGTTTAAATATTACTGAGCAAATTTGTTAGGAACACATATTTATAGCTCGGCAGTTACAGTAAAAACAGGTGACTGCTGTCAAAGTAGCACATGTAAAAGCTGATAATGTAACTATTTTTCTATATCATCATTTATTTATCTTGGGAATCTCCTTGAGATTAAAAATGTATTTTCTAAAAGCGACCTGGAGAAGAAGGCAGGAGATAATTGAAGATAAGCACACAAAATGCAACTGGGGCTCATTACAACTAAGCAAACACAACATCCAGAACATGCGTAATAAAAGATCAATGTCAAAAACAGCTGCAAATCAAACTAGTATCAAACAGAGGGTCCTGCCTTTGGAAGGCTGCGCGTGCCTATAAAATACAAGCGTCTTAAAGCAGCAGCTGAGCAGCGTAACATTAGCATATGCCACACCTCCCAGAGACGTTGGCCACATACTGGTGTCTCTTCCTAGTCTAGTAATCAACAGCAAACAGTCAAAGTTTTGTCAAGCAAAAATCACCAAACACAGAATCATGTGGTTAATTTATAACCTCACTGGCAGGGAAATAGTCACTTGTATTATTATTTCATTTTCAATTAAAGAAAGTAAAGATGTGTGACTGCTGTCCTTATAGCTTCAGTCTGAGTAAAACAGATGACGTCACAGTCTTTTCCTGTAGCCGCTTGCAAATGCAAAAATGTGTATTAGTAGCCATGTTTGGGAGGGACTGCGCTATTGGGTAACAAAACCAGGGAGTGCTTCTTGGGCAAAGCAAATGCCACATTAACATCGGCTGCAGGTATTCACCAAAGCCCTGTGAATATCATGCAAGAATGAAAAACACAGACTTTTCTTCATACAGGATTTAATTTGACTAAACGGGCGCCCCTTTTTCCACAGTGTGGTTAACCAACATAAACATTTAACAAGGCTTGTTGCCATGGAATCATACTATGGCTCAGCTCCTCTCTATTACCCATAGCAACTTTAACTGATAGGCTGACTAAGCGGCTGGATGAATATCTGACAGACTGGCTGGCAGCAATGACTGGCTGATTGCTTGTAGCATGTTTAAAGGGATTATGTTAATGGGAAAATAGCTCATAATGAATTCCCTGCTGAACAAACTCCACGCTGTTTTATTAAAAGTCGAAATGGGCATAAATAAAAAGGAGGAGGAGGAGAGGGGAGGTTGATTGATAGGACATAATGATGGGTGAAAGGCAAAATGCGGATTATAGGAAATAGGAGGCACAGCGAGGTTAGGGTAAAAGGAGAAAATCCCAAGCATGCTCTCTGCCTTTGTCAGTGAAGAGGGTTCTCCCTGTGTCCGCTCTGCTCCCTGACCGGCTAAAGCTGCCTCTCCAGTTACACTGCTCAGCAGCACGTGCTTCACATCTCCCCATCTAAATGAGCCCAATGTGTTTCCATCAGTGAACCGACTGTAAATTAATCTCTTTGTTGTCTAACAGCCTAGACAGGGACTCGATTAGGACAATGAAAAGAGAGGAATTCAGTGGACGAAAGCCAAAAATAAGCATCGTCATTAGAGACGAACGATGGATGTGCGTCCAGAAATGTGAACTAAATCATTTATGTCCCATTTACGTGACTGTAACACGATCTGCCTGTGACCTGAGCGTAATCAATCTCCACCGGGCTCAGGTTTTACTATGAACAACAACAGATAAAGTCAGTGTGCATCCATTTGTGTATTTTTTTGGACCCCATTTACAGCTGAAAAGCAAACTAACTGTGAATCATCAGGGCATTAAAACATGCATGACTGAGCGGATTAGGGGATGAAAGATGGACTGGGATAAGCAAATGAAGGAGTGAATCACAGAAAGACAAATAGGTGTTACTAACTTTGAACAGACTGTCTGGGTATCGGTCGCAGTGATCCACATAATAGTGGCCAAATAATGGATTAAAAATTAAGGCGATTCTAAGCCACAAAAAACACTTTGTTTTAATTATAAAAGTAACACTAGACCAAAGTGCTGAAAAGCTTTACCCCTGAGCTCATTTGTTCAGACTTTTTGGACTCTGCGATGACTACACATAACATATTAATCCGTTATTGGCAGACAATCAAAGCAAATTGATTTTAAAATCCCGTCTAGGTCCGTTAATCACCTCAGCGGGCTTTGGTAACTTTGTAGTGTCAGGATATCCCGGCCACAGTGTGCATCATGAGAGATCCTCTGTTAACAGGATGAGATAATGTAGTGGAAACAAAGGTGTGCTGGACTATCTGGTTTTCTGACATCAAATGAATAACAGACTCGTCTATTTATGGCTTTCCCTGAGTGCATTTATCTTCATGGTTAACTGGGGCTTAGTATAATATCTATTTAGAGTCATGAATTCCCAGAGGAATGGATTTTTGGCTTCCAGTTGTAAACAGCCAGACGCCTTTCACTTGAGTCTTAATGGCTAAACAACCATTACAGCGACATTATGCAATGGTGGAGAAGCTTCAGTAATACAAACTATAAAAAGAACCAGTTTTCCTGGTTTAAAAAAGTCTGGAAGGGAACTTCTGAATCCGCCTACTACACCTCTTACCCATCCTCTTGCTAGCTACTACTAGGAATTCTGCAAACCTGTTAAGTCCCTGTATTCCTCACGTCAGGAATAGAATGTGGGTCAATGCCAGCTCAGTGAGTTGACATGAGCTTACCAACTACTGCCGCCAAGAGCTACACCACAGCTGCCGCCAAGTTACATTATAACTCTCCATGTGACACCATGACCGCAGGTTTGATATATACATGGTTACACTCAGGCATCGCTAAGGCCAGGGAAATCATTAAAATGGTCCTCCATGATGGGATATTTGACCAACCAGACATTTTCATCTCATCTGTCTCTGGTTTACCATCACTATTTGTGCCTGATCAAACTCGTTTTGCCTTACTTAAAAAGTTGTAGGACAAAATAAACTTTATTGTCTGAATGACAATAAAATTGGGTGGATAAAAACCAGAGACTGCTGGTCAAAAAGAAGTTTTCCCTCTGTTTTATTCTTATAAACTGGTGGCTTTTATTTATTCAAAGTAAAACTGTCCCCAAAAAGCAGCTACACGGTTTATTTCACACCAAAGGCATGAAATAGGAGAATTGGCGCTACTTCCGGTCGGACATTAATAGCGGATTAAATTAATTCACAGGTGTGCTTTAAATCCGCTTCAGCCAATCAGAACAAAGAGCAGCGGCCGTCGATTTCGCGACGAGGCTATAAAAGTGCATGTGCTACTTATAGCCCTACATGTGGGTGAGAACATGAAGTTTGCCCACATGGCTGCTCGCGTGGATGATTTAATAAATGTATGACATTAATCTGTGAGGCTCTTCCTTATTTTACATACTGATCCACATGTGTCCGTGATACTCTGGGCTATAGAGTATATAGAGTAAGCGGAGCTAGGCCAAAAGCACCGACAAAGGGCCCGTTAATGTTTCTTTATCAACAGTTTGCCTGTGGATTAGACAGACACACAGACTTTCCCCCGTTACGCTACACCGCGGAGCCCTATTACTTAACAGAGCCGCCTAATCAATACCTTCGATCGGTTTGGAGGCCGGTTATTGTTTGGGGTCTTTACCTCACAGTCGTAGAGGTCCGTTAGCTGGTCGATAATCCACTCCTCCAGGTTCAGTCTCTTCCTCAGCTCTTTGCGGTCATATTTGACGGTAACGCGTCCCTGCTTCCGAACTGGTGTCTCCGGCTCCTCCGTGGTACCGGCCGGTGTCTGGAAATATACCCGGGGTTGAGGGCTCGTCTCCGGGCTTGTTACAGCTGCCATTGTCGCTTGGTTTGGGAAAGAGAAAAAATGCCCCCGGAGCTACAGAAGTGTGAAGTGAGCGACAGAAAGAAGGCAGAAAACGGTCTGTGGACGTGCGGCTCGTCGCTTTTCCGCAACGAAAAATCCCGGCTGGTGAATTTGTGACTTGGAAAAAAATCCCCCGAAGAAGAAGAAGGACGGACGATGGACCTGATGCTTTTGTTGTCAAAAATCGCTCAAAGGGACATTCGCAGCGGCTGCTCGCTTCCACCACACAAAGGGGACCGACGGCCACGGAGAAACGTAAAGGCTAACCGGCTTACTGGGCTATTTACAGCATGCAAACTCCGCTTATATAAAAAGAGACGACAGAAGAAGCAGAGCCGGCCTCAACTCTTCATTCAGTACAAAGAGAAATCACACGTCTCTCTCTCTCCCCCTCTATCTCTCTTTCTCTCTGTCCCCACGAGGAGTGCGTGCGCGCTCTCTGACCGGACTCGAGCGCATCCGACGTACCAGGGAAAAAAAAAAGCGGATAAAGAAAAGAGACGTTAATTACCATCCGCTTTCAAAAGCAGCCAACTTTTTAAACTTTATTTCTTTTCCTTTTAAAAATATATTTCCCAACTTTACCACGTGACCACCCATCCCCCGGAGTCCACATTCCTTTTATTAAATCGCTTCAAAATGCCCGTATAAGTGCTCCTCACAACTTCTAAGACTTATGTTATTTACCCACGTGATCTGTTAAGATTTCTCCCACAGCCCAACTTCTGACAACCTGTTTGCCCTTTTTTAAATCGCCTGTTCTTCATCGTTGTGTGCATTCTCAGTAGGGTAGGGACACATGCATTGTGTTGAACCAATACAAAAAACATTCACACAAATGTATTTTTTTCCCTTCACACACTTCCTTTTTCAGTTTCTTCACAACTGTTAGAATATCTCCTCTAGAATCTGTGAAATCTAGGCTATATGGGTACATTTTCACGCCTACACCTCACTCTTTGTGAAAATAAGAAGCTTTTATTTCACAACACGCGAATTATAATTGTATCCCATGTTTGCAAAATGCACTTTCTCCCCCTTGCAAGAGTGCAATCAGTGCCACGGGCAAAACGCAGCTGGATCTTCTTGTTTGCTTTTGCAATTTAACTTCATCTCTGATCAACTTGGTGAATGTGATCCACGAATAGGAACGCAGTGCAGTCAGATTTCTTCACAGTGTGCCCATTGTGCCGTAACAGCAGGGAACCCTACACCCTGGCTAGGCTGCTTAATAACAAGAGTTTTAATAATAACAGGAGCGCGAAGTGAAAGGGGGAGGTAAGGAGAGGGAGGGCGAATTCATAATGTCTCCGGCTTGCTCTGTTGGTGTGACTATGGGGGTGTTCACATCTGTCAACATGTTCACATCAGTGTGTTTATGTGCGTGCATGTGTGCGTGTGTGTGCAGCTATTTTACAGACAGCTATGGCAACGAGACGTAGAAAAACCTGAATTATTCAGCGAGCATGTCTGAAACTTACAGTTGAGTAAGCACAGGCAGGCCCGTACACGCTCATGTACGGTACACACACTAACATAAACATCCATGTGCGCTTACATGTGAAAAACACCAGTCACTTTTATAGAAGGAAACAATAGAGCTACAACAGGTCAAAGAGCAAAATCCATTTCCAAACTATCTGTGTGCGTGAGCGCCAGTACACCAGCTAACTGGAGTTGTAGAAGCTGGCTGGGAAATATGGCTTTTTATGACTTCCAGTTAAACAGACCAGTGGAGATGGAGGTCAACATGACGTAGTATGTAATGTTACAGCTCTGCCTGTACTGGTGAGAGTGAAAAGTGTGACAAATATGTTAAAACCTTATATATTCGGCCTACAAATCTCAAACTTGCAAAGATCAGGAGCTTCTAAAATGAGAAGAAAGTGTGGAAAATGATGGTCTGTGGGTGTGTGTGTGTTTCACAGTGGATCCCAGATTTGTTGTCCAACACTATTTATTATTATTTTGTCGTGTCCAGTCCATGGCTGCACAACCTCCAAACCTGAAGTACACGTGCTACTTGAGTATTTTAGTTTTTCCTTAACTTTATACTAATTCTATTATAATTCGGTAAATTAAATGTAATTTTTCACTTTATTGCAGTTTTGTCTCCTTTAGTTACTTTTCTGTTTTACATTAAAAACATGACAGGAACTAATAACAAGCATACAAACCAAGCTGGTAGATTTAAACTTGGTTTGCGTCCTGAATTTGACCTGGTTGTTCATTAGTTTGCAGCTAAAAGATTAAAGGCTGATGTCTTTACATTTTCACTACACTTCACAGTTCCCGATACTGATGCTCTGTATTAAAAGTCTCATAAGGTCAATATCTGATACAACTCAGAGAATATATGCATATACTCTGGTGATAAAAAATAAGTACATAGATAAATCCACTGTATGTTTCCATGCAGGACTACAAATTAATGACATGCTGCAACGTTTTAGCTGAAAATATACTTATTTAGTCAGAAATTCACCCAGAAAGGCAGTGCCATCTGCTTTGTTTC